TTGGGGGCACAGAAGCTAGAAAGTGACTGTTGGGCCGACAGACCCACACATGCAAAGGCAGACATACCCACGCATGCAAAGGCAGACATGCCCACACATGCAAAGGCAGACATACCCACACATGCAAAGGCAGACATGCCCACACATGCAAAGGCAGACATGCCCACACATGCAAAGGCAGACAGACCCACACATGCAAAGGCAGACAGACCCACACATGCAAAGGCAGACATGCCCACACATGCAAAGGCAGACATGCCCACACATGCAAAGGCAGACATGCCCACACATGCAAAGGCAGACAGACTCATATATGCAAAGACAGACATGCCCACACATGCAAAGGCAGACATGCCCACACATGCAAAGGCAGACATGCCCACACATGCAAAGGCAGACATGCCCACACATGCAAAGGCAGACAGACTCATATATGCAAAGACAGACATGCCCACACATGCAAAGGCAGACATGCCCACACATGCAAAGGCAGACATGCCCACACATGCAAAGGCAGACATGCCCACACATGCAAAGACAGACAGACCCACACATGCAAAGACAGACATACCCACACATGCAAAGGCAGACATGCCCACACATGCAAAGGCAGACATGCCCACACATGCAAAGGCAGACATGCCCACACATGCAAAGGCAGACATGCCCACACATGCAAAGGCAGACATGCCCACACATGCAAAGACAGACAGACCCACACATGCAAAGGCAGACAGACCCACACATGCAAAGGCAGACATGCCCACACATGCAAAGGCAGACAGACTCATATATGCAAAGGCCTTGTGGCAGAGAGCAGGTCAAAGAGACCCATTGTCTGAAGACTGAGAAAGAAATCTGAACAGATAGGGTTAAGGATCTTGAACTTTCTTTAAAGGCAAGAGGAGCAGCAAATTCTTATTAATGTTTTCCATTCTTATTCCACTCCTATGCCCAGGACTCTGATGGGGCCTGTCTCCTATCAGGACTGGACCAGGACAACAGAGAGTTGTTCTCCCCCACCTGGCTTATGAGCCTGCACTACCAAAAGTGTTAGTTACTTCTAGGAGGAGTAGCAGCAAGGTAGAGAGAGATTCTCTGAGGGGTGGGAACACAGGGAAGGCAGAGAGCCGAGGCAGGATCAGGACCACTGGGACTACTGGAAACACCTGGGAAGCAGCCTGAAGGCGACGCAAAGTAACCATGGCAACAACCTCACTCCTGGCTATACTGCTTCAGCCAGTTTCAGTAGCAGTCTCTAGTGCCAGAGGCCTACCTGTTTCCCATGTGCCCCTGGTTTGTTGCAGTCTGCTCCTGCCTCACATGTGATGTCTAGCATTCAATACAAAATCATGAGACAGCTGGGCAGTGGTGGCACACACCTTTAGTCTCAGCACTCAAGGCAGGAAGATGTCTGTGAGTTCCAGACCAGCCAGGTCTGTGACACAGAGAAACCCTGTCTTGAAAAACAAAAAAGCAAACAAACAAAAAACCAAAATCATAAAACAGCAACAAAAAAATCAGAATGTAAAAGGGTGACCAACATATGAGCCAGATAGTAAAATGGTCAGATAGAAAAGCATTTTAATTGCAGAATACAGGAAAGATCTGATAGAAGAGGCAGACAATTTATGTGAAAAGTTGAGCAATTTCAGCCAAGAAGATAGTAACCATAAAAATGGAAATGTTAGTTAAGAAAAAAAACGGGGGCCAATACCTCTTAAAAGTGATTTGTAGGTAGTACTGTCTCTACTTGCAAAACAGTAATATGACCTCAACCATCTGTTCACTGAGCAAATGCTAAAGTCTGATAAATGCCTGGACCTGCTTTAAATGACTGGAATATATCAAGCTAAAGAGAATTTGCTGGTAGCAGGCCAGTGAACATGTTTTCATTAGAAGCTGCTTCACGAGAAGCTGTACAATACCAAGTCATCAAGAATGATATGAAGAAAGCAGAGGCACTGTACACATGGCTTTCAAAACTAGTGAAAAGCTGCTGTAATCAAACAACGTGGAATTGTCACTCAAAGCTGCTTTGCTGACCACTACAACAGAACAGACAGCCCACCACCTGCGGGCCACTGCCCCAAATCCACCAAGCAAAGGGCAGTCTTGTTAGTAGGGGGTGCTGGGGGAACTGGATGTCCATGCCCAGAGAACGCGACTAGATTGCCGTCACTCACCAGCTTGAAAACAACTGAAACCGGGTTAAAGATCCAGATGTGCCTGAAACCATGGTGCTACCAGAAGAAAAAAAAAAGAATGAAGGGGTTGGGGTGGACAAATACCACGTGATTACTCTTGTGTGCAGGAAACCGGAGCAGACTGGTGGCTTACGTCAAACCAAAGGTTTCTGGCCAGCAAAGGAAACAATGAACAGAATCAGAGCATAGATACAAGCTGCAAAACCTGTGCTATAGAGGGACGGTGTTCACAATTATGCATCTGACAAGGAGGTGACATCCAGAATATACAAGCGTCTTTGTTTGTTTGCTTGCTTGCTTGCTTTCACTGACAAACTAGAATCACTTGGAACGAGGGACTCTCAGTTGTGTCTCTCGTGCTGGCCTGTGGGCACATCTGTTGGACCAGCCCTAGGCAGGTAGGCCTGGGATGTAAGGAAGCAATCCAGTAAGCAGCACTCCTCCACGGGCTCTGCTTCTGTCTCTGTCTTTGTACCTCACGTTCCGGCCTTGACTTTCATAGATGGCCGACTGTAAGGAGTAAGCCAGATAGTCCCTTTCCTCCCCAGCTTGCTTCTGGTCTGTGTTTTATCACAACAACAGAGACAAAACTTGGATAATACAGAACTCAAAATAAAGGCAGTAGTACATTCACACAAAACCCATTTTTTAAAAAGGCAATGGGTCTAACAACAAAGACATAAAAGTAGCCAACATCACCAACGATTAATGATCTGGGACATGCAAGTCAAACCTTTAACAGGAAAATATCACTTCACAGCAAGAACGGTTTTCAAAAAAAACTACAGGTGATAAACATTGTTGGGAGCACAGAGACAGGGAAGCATTTGTATATTGTTTTTTGTTTGTTTGTTTGGTTTTTGGTTTTTATGAGACAGGGTTTCTCTGTATTGTTTTTGAGGCTGTCGGTCCAGCCCGGTCTCGAACTCACAGAGATCTGCCTGCCTCTGCCTCCCGAGTGCTGGGATTAAAGGCATGCGCCACCACCGCCCGGCTGCATTTGTATATTGTTGATGGGGATATGAATTAGCTCGGCCTCTATAGAATACAGCATTGAGATTCCTCCAAAGTTAAAAGCAGAACCATTGTCTGATCTCGACACATCACTAGTAGGCATATACCTAGAATAAATGGGTTCAGCGTGCTGAAGAGGCCTCTCAGCTCTCAAGCCGTGGCAACAACCTGTGTCCATCAGCTGATAAACGGACAAAGTCACAGAGGAGAATGAAACCTTGGCACTTACGACAGTATGGATGGAACTGGAGATGTCAACTGAAACAACCTAGGTGCTAGGCTGGAATGGAACTGGAGAGATGGTTCAGTGGTTAAGAGCACGGTCTGCTCTCGAAGAGAACTTAGGTTTGGTTCCGAGCACCCACACGGCAGCTCCAGTAACCGTTTCTAACTCCAGTTCCGGAGAGCTGATACCATCTTGTAGTCTCTGTGGGTATCAGGCATGCAAGTGGTGTATAGATACACATGCAGGGAAAACACCCATGCACATAAAACATCAAATCTCGAAAAATTCTTATCAAGAAAAAAGAATGCGTGATTGTGTGAACACGAAGAGTCTTAAAAAGTGTTGCTCTCAGAGACCTTGCAGGTGGGATGGTGACAACAGGGGCTGGGGAGAGGTGGGGCGGGGAGAGGTGGGGCGGGGAGAGGTGGGGAAAGACTTTACAGCAGTTACTAAGATATAGTCAGAAACACAGGCGCACACAGCAGGGCGGGTGTACAACAGTACAAAAGGCCAGGGAAAAGGATTTTTAGTTTCAGCCTGAAGGAATGTTTGATGTATATTTAACAATTTAAATATTAAGCAGTGCATTCATGCATCAGGACATTACATGATATTCCATAATGCACATATCACTTTTTGTTTTTATATATTAGTTAAAACTTAAAATTACCTATACAGAGGCCACTTTTTTTTTTGTAGAATTCCAAGGGATTGTTAGCTGCATCCTGAGTTCAAAGACGTTTTGCATTGTAATGTGTCCCACAGTTTTATATATGATAATGATGGCCAATCTTTTTTTTTATACACTATATTCTCATCACTCATGATAGCCTTGGATTGTCAACCTGATACACCTCCACCAGATTGGCCTGTAGGACAATGTCATGATTGCTAACTGATGTAGGACGGCCTAGCCCACTGTGGGTGGTCCCATCCCTGGATAGGTGGGCCTGGGCTGTATAAGAAAGGTACCTAGCCAGGCTGCTTGAGGAGTCGCTTGCCCCGGGCTCCCAGAGCACTGGGATTGCAGGTGGCAGCCATACGTGCTCTGCTTTTACGTGTGTTCTCCATCCTCACACTGGTCTCTTGCAGTGTTTCAAAATCACCATGTGTTTGCACTAGCTCCTCTAGCTATCCAGTGGTTTCTGCTCCAGAAGGAAATAGGTCTCGTCCATGTCTCTGAATTCCCAAAATATATCATCTCTAAAATGAGTTTATCAGGACTGGAGATCGGTACTCAAGAGCCCTTGCTGCTCTTCCAGAGGACCTGAGTTCAGGGTTCAGCACTCGGGTTGGGCAGCTCACCACCACCTGGGGATGTGAGAAGTCCGAGTTTTTGTTTTTGTTTTTTGGTGTCCCTGGAGGCGCAGAGATTCAGGATGTAAACGGCTCCTGCCAGGGCGCAGCATCCGAACTTTGCGCCTTCTGGCTTGGTCCTATGGAAGGAGCGTTCCTGCCTGGCAACGAAGATTCCCCGGGCTGATTGGATATTGTTCCAGCCAATGGGACGCTGCTTCCCTCTCGGGCGGGCGGCGCGCTTTGGCGGTTGCCGGGACACAGCATAAACACCCGAGTGCGCGCTGCTGTGCGGAGGCGGCGACCGGCGGCTCGGAAAGACGCGTTTGCAGCTGAGGCTGGAGACTCAAGCAGCCGGAGGAGGTTTAAAATCAGCCACGATGGTGAGCAGCTTGGAGGCCGGGGCAGGGATCGCAGACCTCCAAACTGCATGTTTATTTATGTACAGTCTAGAGCTCGCTATCTCTGAAATTTAATTCGAAGTGCGTAGTCCGAGAGGTCGGTGAGAAATTTTGATTTGCTTTCTGTAAGGTTCTGGGTTGTTTTCTGAGGGACGCACCAGGCTTTTCTGCACTTTTCCCCTCTCACCGAGATAGATACATCTTTAAATGCGCTTTTTTCGGGGGCAGCTCTCTGAGTGGTGGTAAAACTGCAGCTGGAGAGCTTGACTTTCGCTCTCACTGGTACTGTTGAATTTTGAGTTAAATTACTTCAACTTTTCCCACTTCGCCTACAAAACAGAATATTATTAGTACCCATTTAATCAGTACGTCATTATGTTACCCTATCACGTATGAACTTCTGGTATACAATGAATTTAGCAAGAGGGCCAAAGACCCTTCAGACTTGCCTATGTTTACATCGTTTGTTATAGGGATTTTCATCTTTTGAAAAAGCGGGATCATGGACTATTGAACTGTGTATTTCCCTTCTCCCGCATTGTAGGCCACCAGAAGGAGAGCTCTGAGCTTCAGTGAAAGACACCAGAAGTTAGTAGATAAGAACTTCCTCAAATCGTTGCATGTCCAAAACTTGAACAAGTTGGAGAGGCAAGCCAGGAGCCAGGTCGTGCAAAATGAAAACGATGAGAGGGTTGAACGTAAGAGGTTTCTCAGAGTGCTACAGAATGAGCAGTTTGAGCTGGACATGGAAGAAGCCATCCAAAAAGTAAGTTTCAGTGTTCGTTGTTAAATTTTCTTCATCTGGAAAATTTGGAAGGTGACTGCCAGTCCCGGAGTTGAGGAAACAGACAGCTCGGAGTACTGGTTATTTTTGCTGAAGAACTTGGGGTCAGTTGGTCACTTTTTATTCTTTGTCTATAAAATCCGCTGACTGTACTCCCTACCTAGCATTGCTTTAATAATAAGCAAATGTGAAACCTTTAGAACAGTGTGTGGCAAGAATAAGTATTCTTGATTAAACATAAATATGAAATCCATAATAGTTTTGCTAATGTGAGTACAACTCTGTTGCCTTCTATAAGTTTCTAATAAAATTAAGAATTCCTTTTTAAAAATTCCCAACATTAAACAGAGCCATTATTAAGCGGTAGGAGATGAACCTGTATGAGGTATACATTTATTCATATTTTTGAATTTTTTGAAGAATTCAGGCATAATGTGCATGTGTTTGTGTCCTGATCTACTGGCTAATCTATCATGGGTATTTCTAAGTATTTTCAGGAGGTTGTAGTAGAGGAAACAGACAGGAAGTGGCAGGTGAATGCTTGTAAGTATAAAAAGAGTGTGATGTGTTGGACACGGGCATGCCGTGTGCCCAGTATTTTGAGGGTGGCTCAGGACATAGCAAAAGAAAGGTATAAAGGTGCTGACTGCCTTCTGTCCTAAGTGCCAGTGGCTTAGACCCCAGCTTAGCTCTGCAGGCAAATCCTGGACATTTCTTCTTTTCTATTCTTTTTCTTCTTACTTTGTCGGTAAGGAGAATCCCACATACTCCAACTCTGTCTAGCAACCGTCGGTCGTTGCACATCTGATGAAGCAGGGATGTTTTCTTTCACATACTTAGTATCATCTCACTGGAGGATAGCTTTAAGCGCATTTCTGCACTATGTCAAAATCTGCCTTTAGGGTTGGCTTCTTTTAGTCAGGACCAGGCAAGGTTCGTACAGCTTATACAGTTTTTATGCCTCAGGCTCTGTTAATATACACAACTCTTCCTCCATCCTATGTTAACTTCGTATTTCTAGCCTGATGGAGATATCAGGCCTGTTGTCTTTAACTCTGTGAAGCTGTGTTAATGTGCCTGTCTAATACAACTGGTGGTCCTAATAAAAGCTGAATGGCCAATAGCCAGCTAGGAGCAAGGATAGGCAGGTCTGGCGGCAGAGAGGATAAATAGAAGCAGCAAGGAGCAACAAGAGAACAAGGGAAGGAGGACCTCAGGGGCTAGCCACCCGGCCACTCGGGCCCCCCTGCCCCCCCTCGCCTCCCGCCCCCCCCCCGGCCCCCCAGTCCCTGCCCCTGCCCCCCAGCCTCCCAGCCACCTGGCCACCTGGCCAGACACAAAGTAAGAAGGAAAGAAAAGATGTACAGGAATAGAGAAAGATTAAAGCACTGAGGCCAAAGATAGATGGAATAATTTAAGAAAAGCTGGCAAGAAACAAGCCAAGCTAAGGTCTGGCATTTAATAACCCTCCACCAGTGATTTGTTTGGGAGCTGAGTGGTGGGGCCTGAAAAAAGACAAAAGCGTAAAACATCATACAACATGTGCCTGTATCTTTTCTGCATTCTGTAAAGGAAGCTGTCCAGGAAGACATTAGTTTGCAATTCAACTTATACTGGGGAGAAAATAGTTCCTTTTTAATGAATTTGTTTCTGTGTGGTATATTGTGATTATTTTAAGTTTTCCTCTCTTGATTTTTTAGTGTCTCTTTAGAAATATATCTTTATGGGGCTGGAGAGATGGCTCATCAGTTAAGAGCACCCAGGTTCAGTTCTCAGCACCCATGTGGTAGGCAGTTCATAACTGCCTGTAACTCCCATTCCAGGGGATACAGCACCCTCTTCTGGTCTCCATGAGCACCAGACACACATGTGGTACATATAATACATGCAGGCTTAACAGTGATGCCCATAAAAATAAGTCCTTTTAAAAAACACATTGAATATCTTAGTGAAGTCAGGAGTCTTTATATATGCATAATTGCATTTATTGTTTTTTGTTTTTCCTGGCAGTATTGGGGATTGAGCCTAGGGCCTCATGCATGCAAGGCAAGCACTCCACCACTAAGCTATAGCCCAGCTTCTGTTATTTATTTTCTTAAGGAAATTTTTAAAGTTCTTTTGTATCTCCCTTCCCCCCATCCGTGCGTGCGTGCGTGCGTGCGTGCGTGCATGCGTGTGTGTGTGTGTGTGTGTGTGTGTGTGTGTGTGTGTGTGTGTGTGTAGCAGCCTAGGGAGAGTGAGTGAGAGTGCTAAGATGTGTGTGTTAAGATCAGAGGACCATTTACATTTCTCCTATCCTTTGGGTCCTGGGGATTGAACACAGGTCTTCAGTCTTGGCCACAAGCCCTTTTACCCACTGAGCCATTTTACCAACCCCTGTTATATCTTTTGATCCTTAGATTATCCTGTCCTTGGCCAGTGGGTGCTCTTTTATGTTGCTTCTGTGTTCTCTCGACAAAACACCTTTAATCTTTGATATCTTTCTTGCTTTCTGCCAGAACAAAATAGCTCACAATGGCTGATTTTATGTGTTGGTTGGCGGGGCCCTCAGCTGACCTTATCCTGGGTGTTTATAGATAAGAGTAACATTTAAATCAGGTTGAGTAAGCAGTTTGTCCTCCCTTCACCTACCAGGCAAAGGCTTGACTAGAACGAAGAGGCAGTTAGTTGCCAGAACAGTTAATTTTTCCTCCAGCCACCTTCAAGCTAAGATATGTATGGGCTTCTGAGCCTCTGATTTGTTTGTGTTTTTTGCCTTCGACTCTGATTATCACATTGGCTCTTCTCCTGTCTTAAGTTCGCTGGTGTTAGCTTGAATGTGAAGCGTGTAATATCATCTACTGGGTCTTAAACGTAAGACTCAGAATAGAACGGTATAGTAGGCTCTTGGACTTGTCCCTCACCTCCACTCGTGGGGCTTGCTGGCTCCATTATTGCTTCCTCTAAAGCAGCCTGCCAGCACAGGGCTCATCTTGTAAATGTCCTGAGCCACACCTGGAATTAGCCCTTGTGCCAAGGGGGGAGTGGCCATTATTCCCAGGTTATCATTACCTCTAGGACTTCTTGATGAACAGATGTGGGAAATATGCATTTTATAGCTTTCTATTTTGAGGCAAAATTGAATTGATCAAAGAGTTCAAAAACTTTATAGAAAAATCATAAATTTCTTTCCTGGCTTCTTATGCCAGCATCTTACATAGAATATGAAAAACAGTGAAACTATCACCGCAGAGAAATTAGCCTTGCTACCCCATTTTATTACTGAACTACAGGATTTACTCAGATGTATGGCTGTCTTGTTCTAGTCTAAGATCACAAGTTACTTGTCATGTCATGTCTCCTTCGTCTCCTCCAGTCTCTCTTGCTCTTCCGGTCTGTGAGAGTTCCTTGTGTGACAGTGTGAGGAGTGCATAGCTTTCTGTAGTGTGAGACATTACTACAGACTGAGCAGCCTGCAACAACTCGTGTCTTCTCACATTGTCTGGGTCAGAAACGCAGGCGTCAGGATTCCCAGCGGTCTCAGGTTGAATCAGGTGCTGGCCAGCATGCATTCTCACCTGGAGTCAAGGTCCTCTTAGAAGCTATTGGTCCCCTGGAGTTTGCTTCGCTTGTTTCTACCCCAGCTGCTCCTGACCAGGCTGACCTCATTCAGGGCACAGTCCCTTCTGATAATCAAATCCAACTGACTGAGAACCTTAATGCCCTTTCATTCATGGAATCAGGAGTTAGATAGTGTCAGTTAAGTGTTTTTGTGTGGGATCCTGTCTTCCTAAGATTTTTTATTTGTATTTTTATGTGTATTTTATTTTTGTGGCTTATTTTCTTTTTATTGCCAAGTAATGTCCTGTAGTGTGATTGTACAACAGTATACTTGACCCTTCACCTGATGAGGAATTTCCAGTACTGGATATTATGAATAAATTTGCTGTAAATATTTAAATGTATTTTTTTTAGATAGGGTTTCTTTGTTTAACAGTTCTAGCTGTCCTAGAACTCACTATGTAGACCAAACTGGCCTCAAACTTACTGAGATCCACCTGCCTCTGCCTCCCAAGTGCTGGGATTAAAGGCTTTCGCCACCACTGACCGCCTAAATGCAGATTTTTAACTAAATGTACCTTCTTTTCCTGAGACAAGTACTTAAGAGTGTAGTTGTTTTATTGCCAGTTTGATTTCCATATACTCTTCCAGAAATGTATGTATGGTACACTTTCTCAATAGTTGGTATCGCCACGTTTTTGTTTTTGTTTTTATTGTGTGTGTGTGTGTGTGTGTGTTTTAAATGGACTTTCCAGTATGCATGCTATGATGTCCCAGTGTAATTTTAATTTGCTTTTATCAAGGGTTTGCTTTTATTATTGTTAATTATGTGTAGACGTGTGGATATGTTCATGTGAGTACAGGTGCCCTGAAAGGCCAGAGACACCGCATCTCTTGGATCTGGAGGAACAGGTAGTGGGGAGCCACCTGTGGGGGCGCTGGGGACCAAACTCAGGTCCATCTCTCCAGTTCCTAAGCCGCGTGTCTTGATGGTGATTGGTGTTGAACATTTTTCATGTGTTATTCTTGTTTTGTTTGTTTGCTACTTGCTTTTGAGACAGTCTTGAGATGCAGCCCTGGCCTAGAACTCAGCATGAGACCAAGCTATGCTTGGACGTCTGGTGCTTTCCTTGCCTTGGCCTCCTGAGTTCCAGGTTACAGGCTGCTTTCTACCTCAGGAAGTAACGAAGCCTCCATATCTGCAGCACAGAAAACACAAGTGAGGCTGTTTAGGGAGCTCCTGAGAGAGCAGCCAGAGAGCATGGGAGGTACATGCAATAGGATAGTTTTGTCAGTTTGACAGCAACTAGAGGATTTAGGAAGGGGGAACTCCAATTGAGAAATGTGGGCAAGCCTGTGCTACATTTCTTGCTTGGTCAGTATCACTCATGGGCGGTTGGTCCTGGATTCTGTGAGAGGGAAGATTGAGCAAGGCACTCAGAAGCATCCTTTCTTGTCCTCTGCATCAGCTCCTTCCTCCATGTCCCTGCCCATCACGGACTAGAATGTGAAACCGTAACCTAAATTAAGCCCTCTCCTTCCCAAGCTGCTCAGGAAATGCTGCTAATTTGTGGTGTGGTTATGAAAAAGAAAGTTTTGTCAGGTAGATCCACATGGAGCTGTTTCCATGGTGGGTGGGCAGCAGTGGCCAAGCCTGTGTTTTATTTTAAAGCTGTGTTTATTTTTATGTGAATGCGTGTACTGTGTGCATGTCTGGTCCCAAAAAGTCAGAAGAGGGCACCAGAGCCTCTCGAATAGATGGTGTAAACCACCATGTGGGTTCTGGCAACCAAACCTGGGTCCTCCGCAGGGGCAGCCAGTGAGTGCCCTTAACCCCTGAGTATTTCTCCATTGCCCCCCACCCAGGATTTGATTTAAAATACTATGGTAGAGATAATGAGAGAATGCAAGAGTAGAGAAAAATTGCAAAATATCAATACATTTCGAAAAGAATGAATATATAGGTATATTAATGTTCCTCACATCACTGGTAATATTTAATTTTTTTCTATGGTAAAGTATTTGAAATGTTGTTTGTTGTTGCTGTCAGGGCAGTTAGTTTGCTGTTCTAACACACACACTACTTTGACAGAGGTCTACGCAGAGGCTGTAGGGAACTAACCTGCACTTCTCTGTTCAGGCAGAAGAGAACAAGATGCTGAGGGATCGACAGCTTGAACAGGAAGAGAGACTTGCAAACGAACTGGCCAAACTCAAGCATGAGAGCCTGAAGGATGAAAAGATGAGGCAGCAAGTGAGAGAGAACAGGTGTGGTGGTTTCTGCTACTTGAATTTATAGTCTCCGTCACTACGCACTGGGTCACCCTTAGCACCCGAAAGTGAGACTCTTTAGATCGTTGACATTTTCCGGGAAATACTGCATTAGCGTAAGATACCCATTTAAACTTCTTTGTTGTGGTGCTGGGTATTGAACCCAGGGCCTTACATGTGCTAGACGCATACTCCGCCACTGAATCATAGCCTCGACCCACAGAAATGGTTAAGAAATTTGGCTGCATTAATAGAAGTATTAGTGTTGATAGGAAAAACTAAGTACCTAAATATTAATGCCTTAGGTGCTTTCCTTTCAGGATGTTTGTTTGTTTGTTTTTTTAGACAGGGTTTCTCTGTGTAATAGTCCTGGCTGTCCTGGAACTCACTTTGCAAATCAGGCTGGCCTTAACTCACAGAGATCCACCTGCTTCTGCCTCCCAAGTGCTGGGATTATGTGTGCAACACCACTGCCCAGCCAGGATGAATTTTAAAATAATTTCTGATTACAAAAATTGTGACATGTGGAATCTAGAATACTTGGCTTTTGTTGTTGTTTAAGATGGGGTCTCACTGCTCTGCCCTGGCTGTCCTGGAGCTCCCTGTGTAGAGCAGGCTAGCCTCAGACTCAGAGATCCACCTGCTTTTGTGTCCCAAGTTCTGGGTTCTAGGGCAATTGCCACCACTCCTCGCCCTGTAATACATTTCTTTTCTTAAGACTGAATTACTTAAGCCAGCCATGCCTTACTTGCAATCAAGACTTAGGGGCACCAGAACTGGAGATACAGTTTCCAGATAATTGCTAAGACTTTACGAAGACAACCAAAGACGGAGACCACTTCTCTAGTTTAGAATAAAATGTAGTTTAATACTAACCTGCAGCCAAACTTAAAGGCCTGGGTTTGATCTCAGATCCACAGGGTGGAAGGAAAGGACTCCCAAAAGTTACAATAAATAAACACATGTAAAGGAAGATTAAATTAGAAAAGAGTAATCCCTCAAGTAGACGGCTTAAGGGCTCACCTTCAAGTGTCCATTAAATGTCATGAGTTAACCGTGGACTTCAGATGATACCCGTTGCATACTTTTAGTAAATAAGAGTTCACCAAGTTTTCTGTGAAGCTGAATTCTTTTATTTTCCTCAAGTTTAAAGTTGCCTTCTCCCCACAGTATCGAGCTCAGAGAGTTGGAGCAAAAATTGAAAGCCGCTTACATGAATAAGGAGAGAGCTGCCCAGATTGCTGAGAAGGACGCCATCAAATATGAACAAATGGTAAAACTACTTTACGTCATTCTGATTTTGTACTGCGGCATGTTCTGAAAGCGGCACTTCTGTGAAGAACGTGTTCGGCCAGGTTCCCCACACTGTCAGGCTCAGACCCTTGGTGATTTCCACCGAGCTGTGTTTGCCTGAACGCTGGAGCCCTCAGGCCCAGAGAACTCCCTACATCCACTGTGTTCTCTTGAACTTATCACCTTGACAAGCTAGCACAGCACAGCCGTCTGTACCCTAGAATGTGGTTACTATGCTTCTCCACTCTTTTTCTTTGAGTATTTCTAGCTTGGTAGGTTTATAAGCACTCTCCTTCCCCCAGGCTCCTGTTTCCGTCCCCCTTTATCACTCTTATTTTCTAAGGGAACCTTTTTCCCCCTGATTTTCTGTTTTCATCCTTGCATAATAACTCTTGAGGGCAAGGTTGTTCCCAGAAGAGATACTCCAGCAGCTGCGTCATGGGTATGAAAATAAGGTTTGCTGAGCTAACACGTAAAACCAAGGTGCATGGCATCACTGAGCTCATTTTCACACAGAAGCCAGACAATTACATATGAAAGTGTATGTTTATAATGTAGATTATGAATACCAGCCAACATGTTTATGCACTAAGGATTATAAACGCGATAACACAATATTTAAACCAGTGTGGTGCAGCATGAGAACTCCTAACAATGGTCATAGGCTATTTTAGAAGATTCTAGAATAGTGGGTTCTCAACCTTCCTAATACTGTGACCCTTTAATACAGTTCCTCATGTTGTAGTGACCCCCAACCATAAAATTATTTCATTGCAACAATTCATAACTACTGTTATGAATCATAATATAAATATCAATATACAAGATAACTGATGTGTGACCCCTGTGAAAGGGTCATTTGACCCCAAAGGGGTCATGACCCACAGGTTGAGAACCTCTATTCTGGAACATGCTAGCAGGGACAACCTAAGGAAAGTGGCAGACCTGTATATGAGCTGTATAGTTCTGTTTTTTAATTGATAAAAAAGAACATAATGTACAGTGTGTTCAGCTGTTTGTAGTTTTAATTACTCTGATAGATGAGGTCATCCATAGCCATTGTAGATATTTGACTCCCAAATTGCTCCTGTTTTCTAAATCAAAATTGATTCACAAAACTAGAACCATACACTACTAGGACTTGACTAAATGGAAAATCCATATACTTGTTAGGTTTTTTATTTTTATTTTTATTTATGTGGACGTGAGTTTGCTTGTCTACATGCACCATATGCATGCAGTGTCCATGGTGACCAGAAGAGGGCAGTGGTTGTGAGCGGTCTGATGTGGGTGTTGAGAACAGACAGCAGGTCGTGTGAAGATCGGCAAATGCTCTTCCTGGACTGTCTCTCCAGCCCTGGCCAGTTTTCTTATCTGCACAGTCAGAGCCCTGTGTTTATTTGAGTCTGTGGTAATTTGTATACATTTTTGTTAGCATATACATTTTTTTGCTGTCTTATATATTCTAGAAGAATGTAATGTAGTATTAGCAAAGGCAAGAGAACTTGTGGTTAAGTCATGATAACCATGTATGCACAATGCCTGTCAGCTACTTTAGCAATGACTGTATTTGTCTCCCAACCTGCTCCCTCTTTCTCTTTGCTGCTAACCATCCCTGCATTTGGGATGTGGTCACACAGACAAAGGGTGGCCCTAATCATTACTCCAGTATTGGAAATGCTGAAAAAACTAAGGGCTTTAATTTACGTGAAGGCTCGTCTGTAACTCAGTGGGAGTGGCGCTGTGTGAATGAAAATGAAAACAAGAGAGAACGTCACTGTGACATACATGACCTTTTCAGTCAAAATCACCACCCTGAGCCTCCATAAATAAAAGAGAAGGATGTGTGGCAGGAAGGAGCCTCAGCTGGGGGACCCTGAGAGTTGTCCAGAGCCTGGAGCAGGTGGGCTGGAGGGGCACTCAACAACAGCTGGTGGACAGCAGCATTAGAAACTGACACTGGAGGTCAGCTTACAGAGAAAGCAATGGTTTGGTGGCTGAAGTGGTTACGAGTAAATCACTTACCACTTTACTTTGTATGTTCTGAATGCGGACTCATTATCCTTGCCAGGTGTTGCCCTAAGAGCTTCCAGGAAGATTAGGAACGCCCCTTAGCATCTGACTCATCGTTCAGACCCTCCAGGTCACTCTTGTTTTTAACCTCATAGATAAAAAGGTTCACATAACAGGTTTTCCGGTGTGCTACTGTGTCTGTTTATAGTGCTGTAATAAACTGTTCACTCCTGAACGTGGGAGGATAAATTTCATTTGAATGCTAGAAACGTGATGCTGACATAGCCAGGATCATGATGGAGGAGCACGAGAGACTTCTGAAGGAAGAGAGCGTCAGGCAAGACCAGCGGAACAAGGAGAGGGTCCAGTACCACCTGGACCTGGAAAAACAGCTTGAAGAACAAGAGAGGAGAAAGCAGGAGGCTTATGAGCAGCTGCTAAAAGAAAAGCTCATGATTGACGAGATTGTCAGGAAGATCTACGAGGAGGACCAGGTGTAAGTACACCCCAGAGGTGCCTGGCCCGTGCGTGTGTGGCCAGCCTGAGCTGTCCATTTGCTGAACAGCTCTTCCTCATCCTTGTCGGCATGAATATTAATAGGTGATCTGAAAAATAATAGGTGTGTAAGTGGCAAATGACCTAAACCTTTGTTTTTCTTCTATCTGTACGTCTCATACATCAGAACGTATGTTTTCTGGTGGCTTTCCTTGGCACACAGCTTAAGTGCAGAGTGCTCTATGGCTTCTGCAGACAGACTGTCACCTTTCTGAAATGAGATGCTTTAAATGTCATTGGAAGAGAGGTCTGATAGTGTTCATGGGAAGTCTACACTTGATACCCAGAAAGTGTGCTGCATTAGTGACTCTAAAGCAGTCTATTTATTTTTGTTATTTTATTTCTGTAACTATAACACCACCTCACCACCCCCGTAACTGGAGTTTTCTTTCCAGCCAGGTCCTGCAGCCACCTTTTAGTTCCCAAATAAGCACACAAAGACTTATATCAATTATTAAACTGCTGGCCAGTGGCTAGGTCTTCTTACTGGCTAGTTCTCTCTTTAATTAACCCATTTCTATAAATCTAAGTATTTCCACATGGTCTTATCTTACTGGAGAAGGGTCCAGACCTATTATTCCTTCCTCGGCTATATGGCATCTCTATGGCATCTCTCTGCAGTCTCTCTCTGCCTACCCAGAATTCTCATTTCCTAGTCCTGCCTAGCTTCCTGCCTCTATTGGCCAAACAGTGTTTTATTTATCAACCAATAAGAGAAACATATACAGAAGGACATCCCCATCACCCCCCAATTGCTTTTTAGGGAAAGACAGCAAAAATTAGAAAAAATGAATGCAACTCAGAAGTATATTGAAGAGTTCCAGAGGGAGCAAGCGCTCTGGAGACAAAAGAAGCGGGAGGAGATGGAGGAAGAGAACAGGAAAATCATAGAGTTTGCCAGCGTACAGCAGCAAAGAGAAGAGGAACGCATGGCCAGAGTCCAAGCGAGTGAGGAGAAGAGGGCCCAGTGTCAGAGTCTGGTATGAAAACTACTACTTTTTAAGGAGGCTGAACGCCTGAAACAGTTGCCAGTTCAGGTGTTGTAAACACGCTTTCTTAACAGCTGATCCAGAAGCTGGAAGAAATGCTGCGACAGCGTGATGATCTGGAGCAAGTGCGGCAGGAGCTGTACCAGGAGGAGCGAGCCGAGACCCTGAAACTGAAAGCGAAAGTAAGTCTGGGAGCGGGAGGAGTGGTTAGGGAAGACAGCCTAGTTAAACTCAGCCACATCAGTGACTGCGCTGTACATAAACGGCATAAAAACTGCAGCTGAAAGACTAAGATCCTCAGCCTTGACAAAGTAGAGCATCCTGAAGAACATGACGTCGTTCACAGCCCAAACAGCTTAAATGAGTGCACATGGAAGGAGCCTCCAAGCCAGACAGGGGAAGACACAATAGAGGTGAAAAGCAGACTAGAGTGTGCATGTTAATATGAGACAAAGTTAACTTTGGGACAGGGAAGTTTTTAATTAAAATAAATTCATCCAGATCTATGTGAGAATCCTAAGGTATGTGAATTTTAACAGCACAGCTTCATAATACACGAGACAAAACCGACAGATGTGAAAGGGGAAGTAGGATACCTACAACCAGTAGGAGATCTCAGTGTCCTTTGTCTGAGTCCCCAGAAACAGAGTACACTGTGGAATGACAGTGTGAGCCAGCTGATCCTGCTGACATTAGAGAAGACTCCACCCAGCAAACTACAGCTCTGAGACACAGAGCAAACCTCTGTATAATCCCAAGATCTTAAGTCTTTTCTTTTTTTTTTTTTTTTTTTTTTTTGATTTTCGAGGCAGGGTTTCTCTGAGGCTTTTGGAGGCTGTCCTGGAACTAGCTCTTGTAGACCAGGCTGGCCTCGAACTCACAGAGATCCGCCTGCCTCTGCCTCCCGAGTGCTGGGATTAAAGGCGTGCGCCACCAATGCCCGGCTCCAAGATCTTAAGTCTTAGCAAACCTGTTTTCTCACTGCAGTGAAGAATCAGTAATGAGAATAACTGTATAGTCCCAAAGTATACAAGAATGAAGCCATGTATTTCTAGATAAGCAATGAGCAAAGGAAAGATACTTCAAACTGAATGATAGTTTTTAAAATGTTGCAAAATGTGGGATATAGCAGAGGTTAGTGGAAAATACTATCTTTAAGTCTTAGATGGGAATAGGTACAAATAATTAATCTTGTGTATACACAGATGCCCATAGCAGGATTTCTGAGAGCTGAAACATTAAAGTAGCCTGCGTGTCCTTAGCCAGTGGGTATATAGAAAGATACTGTATGTGAGCCGTTAATTATTTTAGCGAGTACTCAGAATGTTCTGTGACTGGATGACCTAAGTGAGACTTGATGAAGTCTGGAAATTCATTCATGTTGTTGCGTTGTCCTTTGGGGACAGCTGTGGGCCACGTTTTTAAGAGCTTAGATTTACCATGTTGGCAGCTTTTCCACAGTGAGGGAAGAGTTGTGGCAGCAAGGAGCATACCTCTCTACCCATCTCTCCCACCTGGACAGTTAGTCATGAGTGACTGCTCCTCTGTCCTTCCTGGGAAGGTCCTGAGAGGACAGCCTCCATGCGCACAGTGTGACCATCTCCCCGGCATGCCCTGTGTTGCTTTTCTTTTCTTTTTTCCTGCTACTCTGTTTCTCACTGCTGTTTCCTGGACAGTCTCCCTAAGACAGCACCTACACACATGTCCTTGTTTCCTGGGACAGTCTCCCTAAGACAGCACCTACACACATGTCCTTGTTTGATGCTGTGATTCCAGCAGAGAACCTAGAGAATCTCTGCAAAGTTACTGGGGTCAGAGACCATACAGTAAATGACTTTTGTTGTTGTTGTTTTGTTTTCTATGTGTAGTCCCGGAACTCACTCTGTACACCATGCCGGCCTCAAACTCAGAGATCCACCTGCCTCTGCCTCTCAAGTGCTGAGATTAAGGTGTGTGCCACCACCACCCAACTGTGTACAGCAAATGATTTGAAGGTTTCAAGACCATGTAACAAGTTTTAGAACACAGGAAAGGACAGAGAGTTTGGCAGCTCATACTGATAACCAGTAAAATCCTCATTGCAGACTTAGCAGAGGGTGTGGACATTTTCACAGTAGAACAGTACCAAATACCCCCCTTTTTTTCTTTTTCAAGAATTAAATTAAATTCTTGCATTGGTAGTAGATTCTCAGGACTGTCAATAGTGTGTGTGTGCTCGCGTGTTTGTGTGTGTGTGTGTGTTAAATTTAGTCCTATATGGAGCACTGTGTGCAGGGATATGATATACTCAAGAGGCATTCCAGACTAAATATCACAAACTAAACTGCTTCTCCAAACCTTTAGTGTCTATGTAATATGTGGTAAGTACAAACTATTCAGTATAAAGCACCATGTGCCTAGAACCTTAAAGAGAAATATGTCTTTGAAGGGCTTTGTTATTTTCAGAAGGGGAAGAGTTAAGGCTTATGTACATGACATAGAGTGTAAGCATTAGCTCAGGTGGAAAGGGTTCCTAACTGTTGGGAGCCAAGGAGTACCACACAGTCACCAGTAGCAGCTTAGAGCCAGCTCCAGGGAAAGGTTTCCCCAGCTAACAACTCTGCCTCAGCAGGGGAGGGCTTCCCTAGCTAAATGGTTACAGTACTGCTCAGGTCCCCTGGAGTGTAACAACTCTGCTTGCTAGGGGATAGTTTCCGCAGTAAAAGTGTTGGAGTTCTGCTCCTCTCCTGTGCTCCTCTGCTGAGAAAATTGTTATTTCTCTGCTGCATGACACTCTGGCAAAAGGTCTCACCCAAACCTCATTCAAGAGATTTATTGGGAGGGAGGAATTGAGAGTGGCTGCCTCTGCCATGGTGGAAAAAGGCAGCGGCAAACTCAACAGGCACAGGGCTTCTTAGGGGCAGGTTTTCCAGGGAGAAGATTTTCAGGATGGGAATTGGTCAGATTTCAATTCCTGAGCTTCTCCAAGCTCAGAGATTGGCTGGATTTCGTGCTCAGGAATTGATTGGTTTTCCTGCTCAGGGATGGGTTGGTTTTTGTACTAAGTTGGTCAGGGGCAGAATGTGTTTCATTGGCTCTGGTTTCAGGGCCAGGGTGTGTTTCTTTGACTCTGGCCCTTTTACCCTACATAGAGTGTAGGGCAGAACAGACGTTAAGGGTTTTAGCGTGCCCGGACATTAGCTGACTAGAGTGTATGAACATTGGCTGCCCAGAGTTTGTGCTGGAATTGGGCAAGAATGATTAGGTTAGAAAAGGTGAGTTAAAATTTGTGCCAGTTCTAGTTGAATAGAGAAATGATAGAACAAGAAGAGCAAGATGTGAGTAGCAGAATTTAGGTGCTAGCAATATGGATGATTACTATAAAATTTTTACTTTTTTGCATATAAAAATTTCACATTTAGAAAATATAAGCTTACAGGAAAGGAATTAATTGTGTCCAGTAAGTTTCTATTTCCCTGAAAAAACTCTAATTTCATTGCTAGATGAATGCTTTTTGAACTGCTTTGGAGGTTTGTTTTGTTTTTTGAGAATGATAGGAGGGTTAGACTACAAAGTGGGTACCATGCAGCTTTGGTCTCCCAAAGGGAAGAGGTTGGAAACTGGAAACCTTTAAGTGGTGTAGACAGATGATAGACTTGTTCATGGCTCAAGATCAGGTGTGTCCAAAGGCTTTCACAGTAGTTCCTCTCAAAGCAGTTAATTCTGAGCTTAGAATGAGGCGGCAGCTATATCCAGCTTAAAACTGAGACTAAATGACTGCCTTGCCAGAATCAAATGCTTAGAGAACTTGCTGCTCTTGGAGGACCAAGGACTGGTAACTCCAGTTCTAGGGTATCCAACATCCTCCTCTGGCCTCAGTAGGCTCCTTGCACATGTGTGAGCGCGCGCGCACACACACACACACACACACACACACAAGTAAAAATAATTTTTTAAAGAGAACATGGCATTTTATTCGAATAGTCTTAAGTGGGACAGTGCAGTTGTCAAAAGGCTTAATTCTGTTTATGTGATTTCATATTGTGACGCACATCAAACCCAAATCTGTCCTTCTTGTTTCCTGAGACAGTAGGCTGGCTTCAAGCCCCTGATCCTCCTCCTCCTGCCCCGTGTGTGCTGAGAGTGGAGTGCCCTCTTATGAAAGTGCAAGGAAAATGCTTAACTCTTGCTCCATCACTGTGCAGGAAGAAGCAGAGCAGAAGCTGCGGAAGCAGAGGGAGATGAAGCAAGACTTTGAAGACCAAATGGCACTGAAGGAAATAATTCTACAGGCTGCAAAAGAGGAGGAAGAGACCTTTAGGAAAGCCATGCTCGCTAAGTTTGCGGAAGATGACCGGATAGAGCTCATGAATGCCCAGAAACAACGAATGAAGCAGTTGGAGCACAAACGGGCTGTGGAGAAGCTCATTGAAGAGCGGCACAGCCAGTTCCTTGCAGACAAAGTAAGGAAAGCTCTCCTGTTCATCAGTTAACACTCACTGAGAGCCTCTGTGTGCTTGGTGTGCATGTGTGTGTCCTAGTGTGCGTGTGACGAACAGAGGGAGACCTCACAGCGGTCCAGTTGGTTTGAGGCAGGGTCTGATGTTCCACTGCAGATGTCCTAGAGGCTAGCCAGCCTTCAGCGTCTGGGGATTCTTTTACTGCTGTCTCCATTTTGGTAGAACCTGGAATTAGACACACATGACTTCACCTGAGTTCTGGGGATATGAACTCAGGTCCTCATGCTTGTGTGGCAGGGACTTTATCCACTGAACCTTTGTGTGTCATACAAAGGTATTGTATGTTAGGTATTTGTTTACTGATCATATGATCTATAAGTCTACTGAGTGATCATTTATTCAGGCATATAGAAACTGGGCTGGTGTTGAGAACCAACATATGTGTCATCTATGAATTTACACTCTTGGTTAAGAAAAATATAAAAGTAAATAGTATTATTTCATGTGTGATGATAAAGGTATGAAGGTATTGTATGTTAGAGAGGAATTACAAATTGTGGTACCTTTATATATTATAATGAATTATTTTCTACAAAGAGAAGTCATTAAAGAATTAGAAAAATTACATTTTAAGATTCGAGATGATCTAGAAGGATGATTCAAGGGGCAGCACAGAGTAGATGTGAAAGGGGAGTGCTGGAGCTAGGAGACCAGTGGGATGTGAGGGATGTCAGAGCTAGGAGACCAGTGAGATGTGAGGATGATGTCAGAGCTAGGAGACCAGTGAGATGTGAGGATGATGTCAGAGCTAGGAGACCAGTGAGATGTGAGGATGATGTCAGAGCTAGGAGACCAGTGAGATGTGAGGATGATGTCAGAGCTAGGAGACCAGTGGGATGTGAGGATGATGTCAGAGCTAGGAGACCAGTGAGATGTGAGGGTGATGTCAGAGCTAGGAGACCAGTGGGATGTGAGGATGATGTCAGAGCTAGGAGACCAGTGAGATGTGAGGGTGATGTCAGAGCTAGGAGACCAGTGAGATGTGAGGGTGATGTCAGAGCTAGGAGACCAGTGGGATGTGAGGGTGATGTCAGACCTAGGAGACCAGTGAGATGTAAGGATGATGTCAGAGCTAGGAGACCAGTGAGATGTGAGGGTGATGTCAGAGCTAGGAGACCAGTGAGATGTGAGGATGATGTCAGAGCTAGGAGACCAGTGAGATGTGAGGGTGATGTCAGAGCTAGGAGACCAGTGAGATGTGAGGGTGATGTCAGAGCTAGGAGACCAGTGAGATGTGAGGATGATGTCAGAGCTAGGAGACCAGTGAGATGTGAGGGTGATGTCAGAGCTAGGAGACCAGTGAGATGTGAGGATGATGTCAGAGCTAGGAGACCAGTGAGATGTGAGGATGATGTCAGAGCTAGGAGACCAGTGAGATGTGAGGATGATGTCAGAGCTAGGAGACCAGTGAGATGTGAGGATGATGTCAGAGCTAGGAGACCAGTGAGATGTGAGGGTGATGTCAGAGCTAGGAGACCAGTGAGATGTGAGGGTGATGTCAGAGCTAGGAGACCAGTGAGATGTGAGGGTGATGTCAGAGCTAGGAGACCAGTGAGATGTGAGGGATGATGTCAGAGCTAGGAAACCAGTGAGATGTGAGGGATGATGTCAGAGCTAGGAAACCAGTGAGATGTGAGGGTGATGTCAGAGCTAGGAGACCAGTGAGATGTGAGGGTGATGTCAGACCTAGGAGACCAGTGAGATGTGAGGATGATGTCAGAGCTAGGAGACCAGTGAGATGTGAGGATGATGTTAGAGCTAGGAGACCAGTGAGATGTAAGGATGATGTCAGAGCTAGGAGACCAGTGAGATGTAAGGATGATGTCAGAGCTAGGAGACCAGTGAGATGTAAGGATGATGTCAGAGCTAGGAGACCAGTGAGATGTGAGGGATGATGTCAGAGCTAGGAGACCAGTGAGATGTGAGGGTGATGTCAGAGCTAGGAGACCAGTGGGATGTGAGGATGATGTCAGAGCTAGGAGACCAGTGGGATGTGAGGATGATGTCAGAGCTAGGAGACCAGTGAGCAATGCACTGGACTTCAGAAGGGGTAGCATATGCAAATAGAAGGAGCTCCTCACATGCCAAACATGCAGATCTGATGGTGCTGGGGACCAGTTAAATCTGGAGTGGTGAGGACTTAAGGCAACTACTGATTACAGATATAGTCAAGTCCCTCTTCAGTGAGAAGGCCATGTCCTAACAAGTATGTAGAGGGAAAAATAGGTTTTGAAGGAATGTGTGTTTGTTCACATTGATTTTTGTGGCCAAAAGATGTTGATTGTTAGAAATACAGATTTAGAAGTTGCAGAGGGGACCAGATTGTAAGTCTGACATTCTGACTTAAATATTTGTTCTACTGACAAAACTGAAATACTCAGATGGCATGTGCCCCTGAACGGTCATGTGTGAGCGCTTTAAGAAGACGAAGCATTCCAAATTTGACAAGCACAGCCTCCTAGGCCTTAGTACCGTAAATAATAGAAGTGGTAGTCCTAACTTACGGACTATAAACAGCATTAGTCAGTACCATAAATAATAGAAGTGGTAGTCCTAACTTACGGACTATAAACAGCAACAGTAGGAGGTGACAGAAAGAACTTGAATATCCTTTTTTTAAAGTAAGGGAGGAAGAAAGCAAAATACTAGGTTTCAAGTATAACACTCAAGGGACATGTGTGCAGTCACACTTTAGAGCAAAGCTTAGGTTGTTTTTGTTTGTTGGGGAAGGGCTCATCTGGAATTAAGTAGCACAAAGAAAAAAGAGATTTATGTAAGATGTTGGTGTAAAAACAAGAAAGCATCAGGGGGCTTAAGATAGTCTTGGAGAATACTGTGGTTTAAGATGAGGAGGAAGGAAAAACCAAAAACACATTTAAAAATCTAAGCGACTGTAAATGGTATAGTCACAGAAAACCAAGAGGCCAGCAGGTCTCTTGCTCACTGACATTCCTGCTTGGTCTCGTTGTAACTGGTCAGTCTGCAGATGGATGGTTTTATGAGTCTCATTTCTTTTCACACTAAGCCTCGGTGGACTCTTAATCAGATAAAAAGCCTCCATTGCTTAGGCTTGGTGTAAATCAGTCTTGGCCTGAATCTAGCCTGTAGGGGAGATAATGATCTATAAAGTGCAATTTGCCTGACACGGGGTAAATATTTATAAATGTTGAGTTAATGAAGGCAATAACTGTTAGCACAGTAATTAAGAAGACAGAAAAGGAAAATGCATTGGAATTGCCTGTAAGGCTTTGCATTCTCTCCTGTAAAGGGGTAGGACCAGTGATGGACTGGCCTGTCTAAGGGTTACAGAGCTGATCAGAACACTCCCAGATAATCTAGCAAGACGTGTGTACATGGAAATCACTAAAGTGCCCAGTGACACACATATACAACGTATGTTTTAGGATTTAATGGTAAACATTCCCATTATGAAGAAGTCAGCTTAGCTCTATGTTGTAAGAAATGACAACAGTTTTGTTTTGGCCCTGGAGCAGAGGTGGATGTCTTAGCAACAGAACTTAATAATTCATGACACTGTGTAGTCTTAAACACACTAAACTGCCCATATACACTTTAGAAAGAGGTTGTAGGTGTCCACAACCCTGTCTACTTCTAAGAATGTGTGTGGTTTAGACCAAATCCTAAAAGAGCTCAAGGTGTTTCTTACCACCAGTCTAAACCCCACACTGATTACTGTAAAGCTATGTGACGTGAGGATGAACACTCAGTGTGGGGTAGCACAGTACAGGATGGGAAATCCTGTGTTGTGCCAAATTAGAGCAGTTACGTCGCCTGACACAAGTGCAGTAAGTGGGACTGAGTCCTTAGGTAGTTGTGTGTGTTCCTAAGAGCCTAAGACTCTGCAGACAACATCACAGTCTGCATGTAGGCTCAGAGTATCTTCAGAATTCGGAATTCTCAAGAATGTGCTAGAGCTCCTTTGCTAGGACTCTGTGCTGCACACCTGAACCTAGAAAATGGATCCTCAGATAACTCAGCTCTGGTTATGCATTAGTTTTTTTTTTTTTACACTGTAAACTCTTTTGGGCATCTTGGGTACCTGTTATATGGTGGGAACTCCATAAATGTTTGCTGGGTTTATTAGGAAATTTATTCCCTGAATACATTTTTTCCTTGATAGTGAAAATTTTCCTAAAAATACATACTTGCCTCTTTAAAACTTCCTGTCATAAGGTCTAGGATTGTAGCTCAGTTGTAGAGTGCTCGCCTAGCAGGTGGAGGGCCCTGGGTTCAAACACCAGTTCCACTAAATAAAGAAAAACAAAAATGTGGGTGGGGCATAACTTGTTCTTAAAAATTTAAAGAAATACAAGTATGTTGTTCTATCCTAAACAGAAACAGAGGAGGAGTGGATTAAGGGGTGGGAACAGAGAGTGTTTAGAGGTAGAGACTGCAGGAGAGGAGGGAGGGGAAACTATGGTCAGGATGTAAAATAAATAAATAAATAAATAACAGAAAACAAAAGAATTCAGTCTTTTTATTAAAAAATACAGGTATGTATATTTATATGTGTAAAAGGCATACACTGTTGTCTTCTAAACTTACAATTAACCCATCAGACCCATCATTTAGTTCACTGTAAGAACAATTTCATTTGTAAACTTGGTAGGAGATTAATGTATTTGGTGGCAGTTAAGACACTTCTGTTTCATTTCCAGAAACGCGAGCTAGAGGAATTGCAGCTACAGCAAAGGCGGCAGGGCTGCATCAATGAGATTATTGAAGAAGAAAGGCTGAGACTCCTCAAAGAGCATGCTACAAAATTACTAGGCTATCTCCCCAAAGTAAGTGAGGATTACTCGCGTGTGTGATTCTCATGACAAATAACAATGGAGAAAACAACGGCATGACTCTAGGATTGGGGGGGGGAGCATAACTCATGTGCTTCCGTGCTTTTGTGAAGAAGCAATGAGATCCTGGCAGGTGTTGAAGCCCACAGTCCTTTTTAGACACCTATAGTAAGAGTGGTCTTGGAACATTATTAGCTATCTGAACCAGAGCTGTTGAACTTCTATTTTTATTTGTTATTTACTTACTTACTTTTTGAGAAAAGGTCTAGGCCAGCTTGGCGCGGAACTTCCTACATAGCTGAGAATGACCTTGAAACATTGGTCCTCCTGCTTCTACCTCCCGAGGGCTGGGATGACAAGCTTGTGCTACTTTGCGAAGCTTACACAGTGCTGGGGATCTTAGCCCAGATGCCTTGCACACATTAAGCAAGGGCTTTATTCAGTGAGCTACATTCCCAGTCCCTGAGCTAACTTTTGAGATTCTTTGCTCTCCTTGTTGCATGGGAAATATAAAAACAACTACCCTAGAGCAACTATATAAGGGCAAACACTGAAGATGATAAACAGGAAAGCTTTGTCATTGGTGACACTCATGCTTGAGTCTGAGAGGAGTCTGCTTGGTAGGAGACTGTTGTAGGTAGGTATTAGGCAACCTCAACTTTTGAGAGTAGTTCTGAAAAGCAGTAGGTTTTCCTGTATATCTGAGATACATAGTGACTACTACTAATGAGCTTCTAGTCCATGTAAACATAGAGATTCATAAAGCCATAGTCCTTCAAATATACAAGTCATATAGTTGAGGTCTTTATTGACTGTGCAGAATCAAGTGTGTTTTGTATTCAGTCCCTAACCAATGAAAGGAGAAGTTGTTCCTGGCCACAGGGTCTTACACTCTAATTAGGTAGACTTAATACAAAATGATAGACCAGTGCTAAAATCTACCATGACTGCTATTTTAATAAAACAGACTATGAATGTTAAGAGAACTTTTGGATTTCAGCATTTTAGTGAGGTAATCCTTCCATAGGGCAGACAGGACCTATTGGAGTTAAACTCAGTGTCCCCAAATGAGCTAGGAACTGAGGCAGGAAGAATGTATCCATGCAGCATCTAGCCCAGGCCAGCCTTCTCACCCCTCCCACCCCTCCCATATACTACAGCCCCTGTGTAGACAAGGGACAGTACAGAGGCAGTAAGCTCATTCCTTCCAGGCAGTGCAGGCTGCCATAGTTGCAGTTAGATCATAGATTTGTGCCCTCATGCTCTTTCTACTCTGAAGGTGACAAATTAGGAAATGAGGGCAGATCAAGAACATTCAGGATGTACTTGAAGCCCTAGTCTTGGGAAGTTAAGTTTCACTAGCCTGTTGGATGGATTCATTATCTTGGATAACTTTATTAGCTTTGTGTCCACACGTTATCCCTAAGAGCATTCGGTGAAATACTCTCACCTTCAAAAGTAACCACAAAATGTTTTTTTTGTAGGGAGTGTTTAAAAGAGAGGATGATGTTGAGATGCTTGGAGAAGAGTTTAAGAAAGCCTATCAGAAAAGGAGTGAAGTCTGAAGAGAAGTGATCAGCACCAGGCGTTGATGAAACCTGGACTTTCCAGACACTACCACTAGATGGCAGTGTAACTGTTTTACAGTTGGTGACAGCAGGTTCCAGTGTCTGCATGTTCTAAAACATCCTATTTCACCGTTTATAAATAGTTAGACAAAAATTAAACACATCGGCACTTTAACTGTAGAACAAGTCACTTTTATTCACTATTCGATGCTGTCATGTCACCAAATCCCATAGAACCACATGAGTCAAACAGAAGGTAACTACTCAATGTTTCCAGTATTATTCAGAGATGTTTCTGTATACTCATCCTTTTGACAGTGCATATATCTCCTCAATACACTGCCTTTTAAAATGTATTTATTCCTGATAATCATTATCATTATCGTTATCATTGAGAAACCCCCACACGGGCTGTTTGCTGTGATGTGTGTCACTCATTTACATTCCCACCACAGCCTGCAATGGCTCCTTTTCCTGTGTATCCTCTAGAACGTTTGTTAGCCTTTATTCTTTTCAAAGGTTTATTTCATGTTTATGGGGATTTTTCTGCATGTTTGTGTGTACATCACGTGTGTGCAGTGCTTGAGGAGGCCAGAAGAGGGTGTCAGATCTCCTGGGGTTGGAGATAGAGACAGTTGTGAGCTGCCATGTGGGTGTAGAAGAGCTTCAAGAGCAGTCAGTGCTCAGACCTGCTGGGTCATCTCTCCAGTTCCTGTCTGGTGTGTGTGTGTGTGTGTGTGTGTGTGTGAGTGTGTGAGTGTGTGTGTGTGTGTGAGAGAGAGAGAGAGAGAGAGCATATATATATATATATATATATATATATATATAGTCACAAACATATATATATGTCTGTATAATAGCTGTTTTACTTTGGCTGAGGTGTTTGCTCATGGTAGTTTCACTGTTTATTTCCATGAGAGTAATGTTTAACAATTTCTCACATGCTTATTGGTTGGCTGTACATCTTCAAGAAATGTCTATTTAGGTCTTTTTGCTCTCTCCTCACTTGGAGTTCACACATGGTTGGTTTTCTTTTGGAAGACAGGGTGTCTCTGTGTAGCCCTGGCCATCCTGAAACTCCCAAAGTTCTGGGATTAAAGGTGTATGCCACTATACACCTTTTGTATTTTAACATTTTTAGCCTGTTCTGTAGTTTGGTCCCTCTCTATGTTGTTTGTAATACTTGCTTTTCTGGTCATATTTTAAAAACAACAACAGCAACACACACGTGCGCACGTGCACACACACACACACACACACAAGCCCTATGCCTATGTCAGCGTGGTGGAGCTTTCTCTTCTTACCTGTTCCTCTTTGCTAATACCTCGCTTTTTTTGTCTGATGTGTTGTTGAATATGGGGTAAGAGCTGTCTTCTACCATTGTAATGTTGCAGCATGTCTTTCCTTTTTGCAGATGTCTATGTATTTTAGCTCTGTTGTAGGTAGATGCACGCTCGCCACTGTTACTGTTGATGACTTCATCCTTTTACCATTATGTAAGTTTTCTTTGCCTCTTTTTATAGCTTTTGATGTAATAACTATTTTAAGTACACATTCTCTCTTGGTTCCTGTTTTTTTTTTTTTTTGGTATTTTGAGGAGGGTTTCTCTGAGTAGCTCTGTCTATCCTAGACCTCTCTTAGTAAACCAAACTCTTGAGATCCATCTGCCTCTGCCTTCCAAGTGCTGGGATTAAGAGTGTGTGCAATCACCCCTGGCAATTCCCATTTTCATAGAGCATCTGCTCTGTTAAATGAGTCTTTTAGAGGCATCATATGAATTTTTAGTTACTCTATGTACCAGGTGGTTTTGTGTGTCAATCTGACACAGGCTAGAGTCATCAGAGAGGAAGGAGCCTCAGTTGAGGAAATGCCTCCATGAGACCCAGCTGTAGGGCACTTTCTTAATTAGTGATTGAGGAGGGTCCAGCCCATGATGGGTAATTCCATTCCTGGGTTGGTGGTCCTGTTTTATAAGAAAGCAGGCTGAACAAACCAGTAAGCAGCACTCCTCCATGGCCTCTGCATCAGCTCCTGTCTCCAGGTTCCTGCCCTGTTATAGTTCCTGTCCTGATTTCTTTCAATGAAGAACAGCAATGCCGGAGTGTGATCTGAATAAACCTTTTCTTCCCTAACTTACTTTTTGGTCATGGTGGTTTTGTCACAGCGACAGAAACCTTAACTAACGCTGACTGTCTTCCCCTGGAGAAGTTAGTGCACTCATACTAAAGCAGTACAGAGCACCGTTGCTTTTGCCATCCTTTTTTCTAGCTGCTTTGCTGATCTTTTCTTCCTCTTACTTTCTTCAAAGTTTACAGACTTTTCTCTAATATGTTTAACTCTTTGCTTTTTACCCATGTAGCCCTTACAAGTTCTTGCTTTTTTATGCTGGTAACTATGATTACAAAAAAAGCACCATGTATTTCTTCTGTAGTCTATTTTGTTTGTGGTTCACAACTACATCTTTTATAGTGTATACCATTGACCAGATTGTTGAGAATTTTTTTCAGTACTTCCAACTTATTATAGATGGGAGTGATTTTCATGCCTCCAGGAGCATTAGCATGCTTTCAGTGTGAACTGAACTTCTACAAGTGGGCTTTATCTCGACCTATGTTGCTCATTGGCATCCCTTTTAGCTTGAAGAACCCATCTTAATGTCTCTTGAAGGTAGATTGGGTGGTGATGAGCTCACATGGGCTGGTCTGAGAAAGTGTTACCTGTCCATCTCTGAAAGATGGCTTAGCTGGGTTCACTCTTCTTGACAGGTTTTGTCCTTCAGAATATATCACTCCTCCCTCTTACTGCTTCTTGTATTTCTGAGAGACATAAGCTGCTAGGTGTCCAGATCCTTCAAATGGGATCTGTACTTTCCTCTTGGTGCTTTTAGGATGCATTGTCTGTCTTTGGGCTAGTCTTACCTGGATTAAATTATTAGAGGCGTTTGATCGTCCTGTACCTGCGTATTTTATGTTCCAATTTAGAAAGCGTTGTTTACTCTTTCACCCTTTTTCTCCCTCCCCTTTGTGCACCAGCTTCTCTCGCTTCCCTGTGAAGCTGTCTCTTTCTGTACTACCCGTCTCTAGGGTGGCAGATCCCTCTGTGGACACTTGATACTCGACTGCATTCTTCATTTTGTTCACTGAATTGTCATCTCCTTAAGGTTAGTCACTGCACCTTGGTTTATTTGATGTCTCCCTCTCCTGCCCCCCTCCCATTTTTAGTCCTCATGAGCAGACATTAACAGGTTCTGCAGTCTGGCTTGGCCTAGAACGTCCACATGTTCTTGTCTTGATCTGAGCTCACTGCAGCCACTGCAGCACTACAGGGTGCCTCTAGCCTGTCATCACAGCTAGTTCAGTGTGGACTGCAACACCATGGCCACCTGGGCTGGGGTAGGGACCTGGCAGGGCACACACAGCTGAGGCATGCCAGCTCTGCAGTTGCCTAAGTTCATATACAATGCAAGGCTACTGCAGGCAGCCAGAAGTGATGTGGGCTGGGACTTCACTCGATCTTGCAGGAACCGTGGGTTCCATTTTAACACCAGGGCAGGAATATTTACTGCTCTAGGGCCAAGAGTCTGCTGGTTTTACCGTCCTTGGGCTAGTGCTGGAGACCAGTGAAGTTTCTCCTAACTGTCACTCTTGTGTCCCTCTGTGCTGTGCTAGAGGTCAGGTAAAACTGCCTTGCCCTTCCTCAATAAAGTTCTCTTTTGCTGTAACTAGTGTAGGGTAAAGGGCCAAAGAAACCCACCCAGAGTCAAAGAAAGAAACCCACCCTGGCTGAACCCAAGGCCAAAGAAAGAAACCCACCCTGGCTGAACCCAAGGCCAAAGAAAGAAACCCACCCTGGCTGGACCCAGGGCCAATGAAAGAAACCCATCTGACCCTGAATCCAGAGCCAAAGAAAGAAACCCACCCTGGCTGGACCCAGGGCCAAAGAAAGAAACCCACCCTGGCTGGACCCAGGGCCAAAGAAAGAAACCCACCATGGCTGGACCCAGGGCCAAAGAAATACACTTTGGCCCTGGAACCAGAGCCAGTGAAAGAAATCCACCTTGGCCCTGAAACTAGAGCCAAAAGATTAAAAAGGGCCAGTGAAAGAAACACAGTTGGGCCCTGAAACCACAGCCAGCTTGCCCTTGACCAACACAAAACCAACCAATCTCAGAGCAGGAAAACTAGGCAATCTGAGGGTGTCCAAGTTCAAATCTGACCAATTCTCTCCCTGAAAATCTGCTCCCTGGAAACACTCTGCCCCTAAGAAGCACTGTATAAAATCCCCTGTGTGTGTGTGTGTGTGTGTGTGTGTGTAAACTTTTATGCAGGGGTTTCCCTTTTAGCAGAGTGAAGCAGAAGTAAGTAACATCTAGGGCCAGAGCAGGGAAGAAATGGATACCTCTAATGGGAAGCTCTCTATGAGGGGGAGAGGGCAGAGCAGAGCTCAGCTGTAATGGCTGTCTTGGAGAGGAACAGAATTCCTACATATTGCAGGGAGACCATCCCCCACTGGGCCCCAGCTTCAGAGATACAGATACAGATATATCCTAACTTCCCAATAACTAAGGATACCTTCCCTTCACATCTTTCAGGTATAGCCTGACAAATCAGGATACCTTTCCCTCCAGAGCTGTAACACTTGCAACTAGGTGCTGTCATTTCCGTCCTAGGTATCACCTGCCCCTCTTCTCAAGGTATTTCTGTGTGTGCATAATTACTAAAAATGAGAACACTGGGCCCCCACAAGACAGATGTGGGTTCCAGCATGCTTCACTGCTGTTTGAAAGCAGCAGCCTTGGGAGACAGACAGACCTCAGTAGCTGAGGTGGTGAACCTCTGGAGTCTTGCCTGCTATCTTGCTGTCCTCTGCCGTGTCTGGTAGGTTGTAAAAAAAGAAAAGTCAAAATGTTGCTGCTTTATGTTACAACTATTAAAGAAAAAGGAGTAAGGCCAGTGTTGCAGTCTGGCTTTGTCTTAGAGTGTCCTCCCAAACATTGTTTATTTCAGCAGGTTTTTACCAGAACTTTTTATTTCACAATTACTTTCATGAACAGTAAAGCACTACAATTTGATGTTGAATAAACTATTATAAGCATCAGATTAAAATTGCTCACTCATGAACTGCCCCACTCAAGAGCCTTCATAAACTCCTCCTCACTGAAAGACAGCATCTTGGCAGCTTCAATATGCATCTGTTTTTTAAAAAAAATCAATATTGTCTGATTCAAAGAAAGTCACACAACAGAAAAATTACGTTTGTGTTTATATGCTATCGATAAATAAGTCCCATTGTTGGAACACATATTCTAATTATGCAAGTATATTTGTTATTGTTTTGTTTTGGTTTAGTTTTTCGAGACAGGATTTCTCTTTTTAACAGCTCTGTCTGTTCTGGAACTCACTTTGTAGACCAGGCTGGCCTTGAACTCCTTTAATCCCAGCATTTGGAAGGCAGAAGCAGGCAGATCTCTGAGTTTGAGGCTAGCCTGGTCTACAAAGCTACACAGAGAAACCCTGTCTCAAAAAACAAAACAAATAAAAGGTGTGTGCCATCAAACATGATGCAAATGTAACATTTTAAATGGGTAGTACACTCAAAACCAAACTACTATTAAAAGAATAACTCAGTATTATTATACCTGACCTTTGAAACAAGAAAGTGAGAGAACAGTATGAATCGTCTTTTGTCACATTTCAAAAAAGGTACAGTGTGCTTTGGAATTACTGTTCAAAGTTTAAAGAGGGAAATATATTAAAATGAGGAAAATAATCCACTAAAATGGGTGGGGAAGGACTATATTTTATATTTTTAAAATTTAATATATTCAAGTATATATTTTTAAACCAGTGAAGCTGTGTATTATGCGTGTGACTTTACATGTATATAGTGCATCTTTAGGTACAATTTTATGTGTAAGATTCCAAACAAGCCGGGCGGTGGTGGCGCACGCCTTTAATCCCAGCACTCGGGAGGCAGAGGCAGGCGGATCTCTGTGAGTTCGAGGCCGGGCTGGACCGACAGCCTCCAAAACAATACAGAGAAACCCTGCCTCGTAAAAACCAAAAAAAAAAAAAAAAAAAAGATTCCAAACAAAGTAAAACCCTAAACTTAACAGTAGCATATCTGATATAGTGTCTGTTGTTAGACTCACCTTCTGCCTTTTCAAAATGTCAATTAATTTCAATTGTTTCTTGAACCCTGTCATTAATTCTCCTCTTTGTCTTTCTAGCTTCTTGTTTTCTGATTTTAACACTTCAATCTTTTGGTGATCTTCATTTGCAATATCCTATAAAAGAAAAAAATTAGTTGAAATATATGCTTGTTCTTTACTAAAAAAGTTAACCACAGCTCCCTTATTTAAAACATTTTCAAAATGTATTTTAAAAAAATAACTTTCAATTCTAAGAAACCTAAACGTGACAGAACTTAAATACATAAGAATTTTTAGTAACAGAATCTCTATGTGGTATGACCTTTTGAGGCAAGAGCTACATATTAAACTAGCTTTCCGACAGGACTTTCCAATGTATGGGTTTACAGTGGAGCCCTACAGAGCTGAAAACAGAGACCAGAACTGACGAGACACTGCAGACGACTTCCAGGCAGGAAGTTCAAGAAGAGCCTCAAGATCTGCAACACATTTCCCTTAACCACTGACAGATGAGTATCATGTCACGTCACAGGTGAGAGTTCCAGGAGCCTGTGAAAGACTTGTTCCAAAGAGCTGAGCAGGGAACTCATCCACAGCAATGGCAAGGGCAGCAAACCTATCATCTCTGTAAAGACAGCTCAGCAGAAGTTACTAGGGTCCAGGAAGATCTGTACTTACAGTACTGAAGAAAGGCTTTCACAAAGGGAGTAAGAAGCCAGAAGGAGCTAGGATTCTACACACACATTTTTTTAAAAAGGAGAAAACAAGGGACAGGCGCAAACAGTGTGGTGAATATAAATAACTTTAAAGAGAGCCCTCTTCCTAAAGAAATCTAAGCATCATGTTCTCAGTATGGCCAACAAGGAAGCTCCAGGCCCACATTCTAGCACTGAAACAGCAAGCATAGACAGTCACTCTAGGTGAACTCTAGAAACCAAAGAAGCAGCAAGAGAGTTACCTGTAGGAAGTTAAGGCTTACCAGGCCAAGAGGAGCCAACCTGGAGTCTGCCTGGTGCTGCCAGAGATCCTGATGGTGCCTAGCCCATGAGAAGCAGCCATGCGATGTCAAGGGATCAGAGTATCTGGCTGCTGGAAGGGTATATGAGATGCTCCCGCACCTGTTGCTAAATAAAGCAGTTTGCTGTTCATCTGCCTCCCAGAGCCTGTGTCATTGATTCTGTGCCTTCTCACCCCTCCCCAGAGGGAGCTGTTAGGACCCAGCAACAGTTACCCCTCAAGCAAAAGCCACCCTCAAACAGGAAGAGTCCATGGGTACAATCCACAGTACCACAGATGAATGAATCTATTGTACATCTAAGTGAAGGGTGACATCGAGGGGGAAGCAGAACTGTAAGAGTGTAGTTTGCAAATGGCAAGGTTAATTTACTGCTTAAAACAGATTCCTCTTTCTTTTTTTTTTAAGATTCATTTATTTATTTTGTATACAGTGTTCTACATGTATCCCTGCTGGCCAGAAGAGGACACCAGGTCTCATTATAGATGGTTGTGAGCCACCATGCAGTTGCTGGGAATTGAACTCAGGACCTCTGGAAGAGCAGTCAGTGCTCTTAACCTGTGAGCCATCTCTCCAGCCCTAAAAACAGATCCCTTTAACTTTACAGCTAGACCATAAAACATACCAATGACAAAATCACTTATAGAACATAATTGAGAAACAAACTAGTTAAAGGATGTGAAACAAAAAGAAGGCATACAGAAAACAGCAAAATGTCAGTAAGAAGCCTGTCCTTGGCAGTAATTAGCTACAGGGGCTGAAAAACTAAAAATACACAAGTTGGAAAAGGTGGACTAAAGTAGAACAGGATCCATCTATATCCTGCTTTTAGGTAACTGATTTTAGCCCAAAGACATATACAGTGGGTGGAAGAAGATAATGCACAGAAATAGAAGACAAAAGTAATTTGCCTATTTTTGTCTGAGGTCTGTGGAGCCATTCCCCAGAAGAATTATGAAGCAAGAAAGGGTGCATTCTCCATGCTGTGACAATTACATGTGCATCAAGCATAAGCATGCCCAAGCCTAAGAAGCAAACATGAACAGATTCAAAGGCAGAGGTCACTACAGTAAAAGAAACTTCAGTATCTTTTAGTCAGGCATAGTCACTAGACAGATCAATAAGGAAATGGGCTGCAAATGAATTGAAACAAAGACACTCCTCTCAATAAAAGAACACAGTTTTCTCAAATGCAACCAGCTCGTTTTCCAGAACAAATCATGGTAACCATGGATCTTGACAAGTTCAAGAAGACTTCTGTGACTGGACTGAAGCTAGAAATGGAGTTTGAGCAAAGCATGTACTGAGTCCGCTCCCTGGCACTGGCACAATGCCTGGGCTGCTCGAGGGAGGCTGGCCTTGCTCGGCTTCAGCAGTTTCAGCCACATTCACTGGGCCCAGCGGCCTTAGGCCTGTGGAGCAGTGTGTGAAGGTGAAGGCACACAGCAGAGGACAACGCTGGACAAAGTCTAGAAAGCAAAAACAGGGAGCTCAGTTCCCAATATTCCCTTCAAATGCACACCCCCAACGGCCCTTGTCCTTCCACCAGGATCCATCTCCTAAAGGTTTTACCACCTCCCAGTAGTGCAGACACAGGACCAAGCAAGCCTTCCACATAAGCTTTTGGAGACAGTCAAAAACCTAACATAGGTTCAGAGATTTAAGAGCACTGGCTGCTCTTCCTGAGGTCGTGAGTTCAGTTCCTGGCAACCACATGGTGGCTCATTCTGGCATGCACACAGAGCACTCATATATACAAAATACATAAATAATTTTTAAAAACCCCAAATATGTTAAATTCAAGCTACCCAATTTTCAAAGAATATTAGAAAATCTGTCTAAGCACCAACACATATAGGAAAGAATACGACATTCATATGCAGGGTGTTCCCAAATCAACCTAACCCTTCACAGCAGTGGGGAAAGCAAATGGAGCTGGAAGAAATGGAAATGATAAATTTGAGAGCATAGATAAGTGAATTAATAGAACAGATAAACCAAAATTAAAAACAGTTTATTCCTTGTGACTATTAACAAACCTTTAGGTACACCAGGAAAAAAAAGAGGGAAAACTGAAATGACTAAAACCAGAAACCAGAGAGGGGCCATTGCAGCCGACTTTATAGAAAAAAAAAAGGATTGTATGAATAAAACATTGTGTGATCTAGATGAAATTAATCCCTATAATCTCAATTCACCAAAATTTAATAAATAAAAATTTCAGAGATTTAGTTGTATCAGTAATCAAACTTCCAGCAATGTAGGGAACCAGGTGAATTCTACCACATCCTTAAATAATTGACACCATTCACTCACAAATACCCAAATTTTAAAATGAATACGTTTGCATTAGTATTGTGTTACAACAACAAAATTCTTGAGGCTGGGTAACTTGGTAGAGAAAAGTTGTTTTGTTTTTAGTTTAAAATATGTTTTATACCCATTAGTTATCCAATACCAAATAGCCAGTCTGGTCCTGAAAACATACCTACAAGTAACATTGTACAGACTGAGCATGTCTAGGAATGTATATGTGTGCGTGTGTATGTATGTATGTAGCAACAGTTGCTGAAAAGAGGCCATGAATTTCAAAGAGTAAGAAGGGATATGTAAGAGGACTTGCAGGGAGGAAAGGGAAGGGAGAAATAATGTCATAAAATGTAACTTTTATTTTTTAATAAAAATATTCAAATGCTTATGTGTCTGCATATGCACTATGTATGCCTGATGCACGTGGAGGCCAGAAGAGGGTGTCATATTCCCTGGAACTGGAGTTATGAATAGTTGTGAACCATCATATGGGTGTTGGAAAACAGATCCCGTGCAAGAGCAACAGGTACTCTAAACTGCTGGATCATCTCTCCAGCCCCCAAAAGTGGTTTATTTAGCTCACAGTTCTGCAGACTCAAGGACATGGACCCAGCAACAGCTTAACTCTGGTGAGGGCCTCGTCCACAACAGAGGCAGGGATGTGCTCAAGAAAAAACCAGACAGACACTATGGTCTCACAGTATCTTCTGACCTAAGCACCTCCTGGGTCACACCTCTTAGATATTCCATACCTCCTCCTGACATCACCAGTGTGGGACCCAGCTTCTAGAAATAATACTCAAGCCAATGGAGAACAAAATCAAGCTATACCAAAATCACAACAACATCTAATGCCATTCTCTGGGAAACGTTACTCAAACCAAAGTACTGAAGGCATTACAAGAAAACCTCAGATTCATATCACTGATGAAATGTGATGCAAAACAAACTTGATAGTACAGTAAGAGGATCAGAAATGATAACCAAGTGAAATCTATTGCCAGCACAGAAGGATGGTTCAACACAAAAAACCCCAATGTTAATATGCTAATATTCCACATTCACAGAATAAAGGAGAAATACCACATGATTATTACCTCTAATGATACTGGAGTATTTGACAAGAGTCAGTATTTTTTCATTAGAAAAATAAGTATTACAAAAAAGAAAACTACTCCCAGTACTAAATGCCACACATGAAAGGCCACAGCTCACACACTGAGTGGACAGAAAGCTTTTGCTGTTGGTCAGGACCAAGATAAAGGCATTAGCTTTTGCTGGGCTGTGGTGGTGGCCCCAGCACTCGGGAGGCAGAGGCAGGCGGATCTCTGTGAGTTCGAGGCCAGGCTGGACCAACAGCCTCCAAAACAATACAGAGAAACCCTGTCTCGTAAAACCAAAAAAAAAAAAAAAAAAGGCATTAGCTTTTGTCACTTCTGTTGCACACAGCACTGGAACTTGTAGCCCAAGCAACTGGAACAGAACAATTGACATCCACACTAGAGAGGAAGAAGATTCCTCCTAGATGACAAGATCCCAGATGTGGAAATCCCTAAGGATTTATACGAAAATCATGATGACCAAGAAATGCATTCAGCAAAGCTGCAGTCTACAAAAAGGGTTGCTTCTACAAACATACTAACAGTGAGCATCTCAGGAAAAGAACTAAGAAAACAGTTCCATTTACAACAGCATCAAAATGAATGAGTGAATGAATACATGCAATAATAATGCTTCCTGACATCAAATCTTAATATATTTATAATTATAACAGTGCATCTGTATCTCTGTATCTGTTCTAATTACACAC